CGCACGCGGCGGTGGGAACGTTGACATTAGGCTCAGCAGCCTTTGGATAAAGAAAGAAAGGCTTGAACAGTGCTGCCTGAACTGATGGCCAGCCTGTTGCCGATTCTGACTTTTATTCCATCTCTTGAAGGGGAGTCAACTCAATGGTACTCCAGAAAGACTATTTGATGTTGGTTACCAGCAGTTTTATGATTACCTGGTGTGTCTGAGTATCAGCCACCTCGTTGCGAACACTGCAAATCATAGACCATCGATCAACTAGGAGAGAGAGAGGGAGGTTAGGAACTGCTGGAATAATTATCTCACCAAATTAGAAAATCCTTTATCGGATAACATCGTTAAAATGCTCTCTGTAGCATCGTTAAAATGCTTTGAAAATCCTTTATTTTCTCTTGCATGGAGTATGAAAGTTAAGAAAAATCGCATTTCTTTCTTATATAATAACTAACAGCAATTAGAAGGCCGAATCATAAGTGGACGATCCAAGTGGAGCGGCCGAAGTGGGTTAAATTGACAAATAATAATTTGCGGTCCCTGGTAGCCCGAACCATATTTCTGAAGTAAACGGCCAATCCGTTTTACCGTGAAAAATATAGAACGGTTGTAATCCATGAATTTTAATGTAAGGTAGAAATAGTGAATAGACTATGAAGGTAGAGATAATAGGGCTGTTATTGTAGTACAAACCGTGTGACATGTTGAAAAGACATGTAAAGAGGAATATGTAGAAGTTGATCTGTCCACGTTTCATCGCTTCTAGCAGTTCATCCTGAAATAGCGTTCGACCAGTAAATATTGCAGTGGTGGAGCTATTGGCTGATGTTTTACGCAACAGTAAGTTGGATGAAGCGGCAATGGAAACGGAACGAAATCGTATTTTGCGTGAAATGAATGAAGTGGAAAATGATCCAATCGAAGTGGTGTTTGATTATCTTCACGATGCTGCCTTCCAGGGGACACCAATGTCGAAATCACCTTATGGTAGATCCGAAGTCATCAGGTAAGAAAGTGGATATTCTTCGGCGGACCTCGTGTCCAAAAAATTTGATGGTAATTGGGATCGATATGTAAAAAGATACGATCATTTTCACTTTATTACTGTGCAAAATGGCACTCGTTGGGTTCTTATTGAAAGCTTAGGAAATGTTATGCTGTACAAGCACGGTAACGTCGGAACGCGGTTTTGGCATATTTATGAAGCTCTAATATTGGCTAAGTGGCTAAGTGTTATTATGTATAAAGAAAATCTTACCTTATGTTCGCAATCCGATATGCTGATCCCGAGAAAAAGAAAATACGAGCTTTCGAGCCAAACAAACACACATACACATACACATACATGCGCAACTAACCTAGTTTTGAAGCAAATTAGCTGAATTATGGCGTAAACTGTGAAGGATTGGTAATTGAATTTATAAGTGTAATGCTCAAGCTTGCTAAAAAAAAGTTGCTAAAAATTTCTCTTTAGTGTTACTTGTTTTTAAGACTACGGTCCGGCATTCCAACGGCCGCAAATTATTATTTACCTTAGTAAAACTAACCCCATCCTGGGTTTAAATTTCTGGGCTCCGGCCGCCCCATA